CATCAAAATGTCTCTATCGACTACAGATAATAAAGATAGCTAGATAAAGATATACTATTTGTGCGTAAATATGTGTATATAATCAATATATTTATATACTTTATTTATATAATCTTTTTAAAATATAAATTCAAGATATTTTTAAATTGTAATAAATATAAATAATTCATATATAGTAGAAGAAAGCATTATGCCCCTTTATGCAAAGGATTACATTTATCTTCTTTGGAGTGTGATATCTTAAAATCATAATATGGTACATCGTTACATAAGTACAAGATTTTTATTTTTTATAAATGTATAGTAAAATAGCTATTATTGTAATTCATAATATTCTTTGATATATATTTTGAGAATTTTATTTTTTAAATCTCAATTGCGTGTATATTATAACATAACAGAACTTAATAATGTTTAAAATAGTAGCTTTTTCCTTTTTATTATATTGATATAAATGTATTTAATACAAATTTCTTCAAATTAATAAAACTATGAGATTTACCATTATTTTTCGTAATAACAAGCTGAATAATATGAAAACGTCAGTTAATATCTGCTTTACTGTCAGTTGGTTAAAATAAACGCATCGCAGTTCTTTATTTTATTACACAGAGGAAGCAACTGTACGGTTTTAGTATTGAAATAATGCGCATGATAATATATTGTACTCTTATGATTTAATATGATAATAATGTAACAATGTAAAACATCATCGCGATATGACAATTTTTGTAAGTTTCTATAAAAATTATAACATAAAGAAGAAATAAGGTTGAAACGTATACTACATTCCTAATAAAACGGAAATTTATTTTTTCTGAAAAGAGAAGAAAAAATATTAATATATTAAAACATTAATTATTCTTAATAAAAATTATAATTTTAATCATAGGGAAGGTAATAACTTTTAATCAATATAGAGAAGCTAATAAACATATAGATGTTTTCAGGAAATTGAAAAAACAATACAACTGAATTTGTGCCAAAAATATATTTTATTATATATACTATATACTGCCATAGTACAAAATTGTGTTACTCAGAATGTTACGAAATACAAAAGTATATGCAAAAGTATATACAAAAATATAGTTAAAATATTAATTTATATTTTAACTATATTTTAATTTCTATCTTATTTTTTATATATTCTCTCTCTCTCTCTCTCTCG